ATATAGATTATATGACTGAAGTTTGATAAGTTACTTGGCTCTCAGTTTTGATCTCAAAGCCTACCCTTTTGAACTTCCTTTTGACATATCTGACCCAAAGATCAAGAAGCAGAACCCATTGCTTTGTGGTCTTGAGACTGCTACCTAGTACTTCATATTCAATACCATGCATTCATGGATCCGCAGGGAAGTATCAACAAGACACACTCCAACAAAAAAACATGGACATTCAGAGGAAGAGTTTAGGAGTCCCTAGTTTAAGTATGTTAAGTAGATGTTTAAAAAGCCAATAAGAGAATTTGTGGTGATAAAAAAATACCTAGCGCTTACAGTGTGTTACATCTGAAGTGCTTCACAAGCCTTTTGTTATGTTAGAGAAGGAGCAAAAGAAACCAGCAGCTGTAGTTTTGCTATTATAAAATAAAGGTTGGATGACTAAGAAAAGAAAGGCACTGACCTGAACCTTGACAATGAAATGATTTTTGTTGTTTCAAATTAATGGATGCATTCACAACCTGTTTGCTATCTTATAACTTTGCACTTGTTTTCATTTCTGACTACCAGCAAAGCACAGATATATCACAGAAGTGACTCAGTATTTTGCCCAAAAGAGAAGACTTAGCAAGCATAATTTTTTAGTCTGAAGCAATATCAGTCATAACAGAAAACCCTGACAACTTATGATATAGTGCTGTATCATTCCGATACATTTGTTTTGGGTCACCCAGTAAAAATATGCAGCGAGCACATATTACTCATTTTCCGAGGAAAATAGAACTATAAAATAGTTAAGTTGAAAAGGACCTGAACCCCCGGAGTCAAACCATTCCAGTCAGGTACTTGTCTAAACTGCTCTTTCATTCAGAAATTCACAATTCTTTCTTTGGGGTATATTGCTAAGCCAATTGGAGTTCACATTGATGACAAAAACAATGAAAACTTTGGGTTTCACTAGAACTTCTATACACGTCTTTTCCAGCTCATTTATACTGATGGACTGAGATCACATCAAATATTTTAATTCAGACCCCCCAGTCCTTAGGAATCATTATAAAACACTACATCACAGATGATCTTCTCTGCCCCTCTCCTTCAAGATAAACTTGTTCTCTCTGATTTATACACAATAGGCCATATATAGGCAATTGCAGCACTCATCCAAACTAAGTCAGAAATTAATGCTTTTTAAAAAGGGCTCATTTTCTCTCAATAGCTGCAGGAGAACTATGATTTAATAGCAACTGTGAGACAGTAAACACACTTTTCCATTACTCTGTATGAAATCCTGACACATACTTTTCCATTCCTCTGGCTTCTTTAGCTAGATGCTTCTTAAACCAAGATTGACATGAAGAACCAATCCCACTGATCTTTTACAAAGCACTCTTCAGCCAAAAATCTCCTACCATGTTATAAGCCTTGGTTTGTTAGGCTTCACAGGACCCCTAAAAATGTATATCAGATTTACACCTGAAAAAAAAAGCAGGCCCAAGGAGATTATATGACTTTTCTAGCCTTACAAAACAAGGGGGTAGAAAAAAGAGAGCAGAATTAAATGTGGCTAAAAAAACCCCAGAAATAACTCTGAACATAAATATTCTATGACTCCTATTCTTTCCCTTATTTTCGTTTACCAGCTATAACGGCAGGACTCCAAAGTCTATTTTCTGTGGTAATAGTAGACAGAGAACCTGTTATTAAGAAGTAGCATAAGACTCAAAACCTCTTTGTTCACTTCAAAAAGAACCTTTCCAAAATTGGACGTGGAAGGAGGCATGTCCAGTTAACTGTTCAAAGCACAACTTATCAACATATGTTGCCAGATTCTCTCCTTATGTAGCACTTCACCCCAATTAATTTGTTGGTTTTTTACAGGTATAATCCATACCTTTTGTGCAACTACAGCAGGGAAAAGAAGCCACTGCATACTGGAGAATCTGCACAGATAAGCTAAACCAGCAGGTAAAGAAGTCAGCTCTGAAAAAGCAAGAACTACTTGGGATCCAGATCCCATTTAACCAGCTCCTTCATACAGAGCTACTCCTGCCAACATACAATGAGTTTGCAGTACAAGGTGTCCAGTTCTGCCCCATCTTTAAATCACATATATGTGCCGGATCTTCAAATTCTACTGGCCAAATTGAAACCAAGGTGACACCACAAGGAATCATCCACCGGAAGAATTTCTTGCCTGAGGCATTAACCTCAGATGATCAAAAAACTCCTCAGGAAGAGCTCTGCAAAGAGGATGTTATTGCTGCAGTGGAAGAAACCTACATAAATATAAATAAATACTCCCATTCTTTTGCAGTAACATCTCCGTTTTTCTGCTTCCTTGTGTTGTTGTCATCACAATCAGACACTCTGACACAACAATTGCCAAAAGAAATAAAAGTGATAAGGACTAGCTGTTAAAAGTGTCTAGCCACCCTAGGGAAGGGAGGAAAAACCTCTGGATATACAGCACGTAGCCAGACACTTGTTTATAGTCTTGACTACCTAGTGTTTCCTTCTCTCTCTCTCTCCGTGTTAGGAGTTCTGATTCCTTTATCTCTGTATGTGAAACAGGCAACAATCTTGACATACTGTCTCTGCAAAGCAGATGTAAATGGAATCAACTTCATATTTAAAGTGAGACAAGGTTCTTTGGGTGAATCTGATATCTTTTATTAGACCAACTTAAATAGTTGGGGGAAAAAATTAAAGTGAGAAATCTATAGTTCTTTACAAAAGACTTTGCCCTCCCTCAGGTTATACATTACACTCATTCCTGTGATACCTGAATTGTTTTCAAAATGCAGAGCAGGAGTTTAAATTTTGAAGTTTGGCAGGTCTTGCAGGGTTTGAACAATTTCCCAGGTCTGAGCATTTAGCCATATGCTGCTATCACTGCATTAAATATTCTATTCCAATGGTTTCCTGAGTAAAAGGGAACTAGATTATGTGCCAAGATATTTCTTTCTTCTCAAGACAGAAGCTGAGATAACAAGTTTGCATGGGCCTGAATGTTTTAGGGCCAGAATAGTCAAAAAATGAATAATTTCTCAGCTGCAAAGGTTCAGGTTATGAACCAGGGTATGGGGCCTTCAAGCATGAGAAGGAAGAAAAGTTACATCTTACCTCCCATTTCTAAGATGCTGATCTTAGTACAAGAATCAATACTGATTACACTAATGCCCTTCAAGTCATGATACTATTGTTATTCCATTGATTATAGCAAGATCTTTACCTATTGCTGCCTGTTCTAAATAGTGTATATTTACATTTATTTTTCCAGGCCTTTCCTTCATTCAGAATGTCCCTTAAAGGGTTCATGCACATACATGCCTGTCAGCTAGTTGGAGTGGGGCAGCTCCTGCTTCAGGAGCCCTGGAACCAGAACTGCATTCATTATGATACACTCATCTCAAACTGAATCCCTGGGGTACATTAGCCTCCATTTCAATCTCAAATTTTCTAGCTAAAACACTGTGTAATTTACATGCTACCAAGATTTTACTTAATTTTCAGAAGCTGATGCAATGAAATACATTCACCCCCACACCTGTTAAGTAAAGAGGAGAAAAATACATGGACGCTATGTAATTTGATGGCTCAGCATCAGGTTATGATGCACACAAGCAAACACTGAAGTTACACAGTTTCCATAGTGATTATCTCATTGAAGTTATCTATTTTTGGAGTCCCATCATAGATCATCAATAGAAAGGTCTTAGACTGCAAGCGCTCTGCAATTTGTGACAGCTGCCAGCTACATAGTGAGGGAGGGGAAAGTGTTACTTTTTCTCTTAAATAGTTCTGGACATTTTTAAACCAGTGCACCAATAGGATTTTTTTAGCTTCACAAATAAATTATGCCAAACCATTCCTAGATTTTATTTTCATCTATTTTCATTGGTTGGCATCATTGTATCAGTATAAGGTGTGATCCTACAAATGTATAGTCCTACATTCTAAATTCTTCCATTTTTTATTTTGCACACTAAATCTCTGACCTGATAGTGATAAAAGCAGTTGTTAAAATAACATTATAATTGCCATGTGTATATTACTCTGATACTGTATAATGATTATTGAGACTATCCCTTTCCTGCATTTATTGAGGGATCACATTATTTGAAAATCAGTCAAAACAAGTTTCAAAACAATTACAATTTTCATTTGGGGCCTGAGTTGATGCAAAAGAACATCCCCACTTCCCCATTTTCTAATCTTTCTCTGTGACTAAAAGTTCCTCAGCTAAAACTTTTGAGAATCCTCATATTTCAATATTCTTTTCCTAATATTGCATAAAGGACATTGCTCAGACCTTAGTCCTAAAAAAGCAGTACTCAAAAGGAAAAAAAAACCCTGCGTCTCCATAGTCACAGTGGTAATAAATGCAACATTTTGAATATTTAATTAGTCCTTGATTCACAACTCTCTGTTGTGACATCATTGTGGCTATCACATGCTAAGCATATGCTTAAATGTCTCCCTGATTTAAAGCCTATATTCTGTTCCTTTTATTAGGAAAAGCCTTCAAAGAAGTCAACAGTGAATAAACAGTAAAACCAAATGTAAACTTGTGTCTTAAGATATCACATTTCCACCTTTTCTGGCGCATGACTTCTTGCTTAACATCTGGTTGTGATGACATTGGATTTCATAGCCATTTTGATTCCCCATGTGAGGTATGGAATAAAACATTTTTGCAAATGCAGCCCCCTGAAAGAAGTAATGGTACTGATGTACAGGAAGTCAAGAGGAGTTTTGCCTATTTTAAGGTTTTATATCAGAGCTACCATCATGATCTCAAAAAAAGATTTGAGGTAAGATTTAAGGAGACTAGATAGATAGATAGATAGATAGATACAGATTCAAGGAAATATATAAACATTAACAAATAAATTACATGCCACTGACAAGTTGTCCAGTAAATAATACAAAAGAGGAAACAACAATGAAGGATTCACTTTGGGAAAGACTGTCAAAAACAGACTACTGTCTGATTTGCTCACCTTTGGCTAGTGTCTTCATTCCTACCAGATCTGGCACAGTTAAGCAAGTTGTGCCTTCACCTAGCAAAGTGTCGTGAGATCCAGTATCAGACTTGATCTGCTGGCTTTCAACTGATTCACTACAGTTCATCTGTGGCTGTTCACCAGTGTGATTCTGAACAGAGAAAGTTAAGGGTTGATCAACCTCTTCCGTGGCAGGAGAGCTGTTAACTATGTCAAGCCAGGACTGCCTTTCTGGATAAGTCACTTTAGACACCAAGGAAGAAGAGGATTCTTGTGACTTCACGGTGCTTTCCAGGGAGGAAAGAGAACAGGATGCTTCACTAGACAGTGAGGAGGCCACAGAAGGCTGTTGCTGAACCTGTTTTCAAGAAACAAAAAATTGAGGAATAAATAAATAATCACCCAGCCTTTCCTCTCATATGATATGCAGCAAGAGAAACAGGATGCCAAAAATTATATAGTTTTGCTTAACATTACCCAAATGGAGTGTACTTTCACAGATCAGCCCCATATACACTTTCATACATGCAAAAACTCACATGTACCATTGGCAAATTAAGCATATGGCTTTCAAACCACTTCAGGCCTCTTCTCTAATCATAGACCTCCTTCTCTGGTTACAGCTACCAGTTGCTTTTCACTGGGACGACAGCAGCAGCGTAAATCCCCAGGTAGATGTGCCAATCCATGGTTTGCACTAGGGTTACATGAATTTCAAGTAGAGGCAAACTTCACTAATACAGAGCTTATATTTTAAGTACGCCTGGTGTGTGTCTCAGTATATTTCAGTGCTCTCTCTGTTCCAGTCATTACAAGTACCAGCCTTGCATATGTTTTAATCCTCATCTATCATAGGTATTTGTGCTAGTTCAGCTACACTGGTTCAAACTCAAGGTACTATCTTAGGTCAAATGTGTGTTAATCAATTAAATAAAGAGTTAGGGAATGAAAAGTTGTGAAGGCTACAGAAGACATAAAGTTATTTAGGTATGTCAATTCTAGACAGGAGTGCGAGGAAAGTTAGGAGGAATTAGCCAAATTGTGTGAATGGACAAGTAAAGGCAAGTCACAAAAAATATTGAAGTAATTTACATAGTACAGGGAAGGGAACAAATGGAGGAACTTGTGTCCATTACATTTCTCGTAAGGTTCACGGTTATAATTTAACTGCATCAGCTCAGGAAAGGAACCTGAGCATCACTGTAGACAGCTCAATAACTAGTTCTCCTCAACATGCATCTAGAATCTAAAAAGCATAGATGCTAAACTGCATAAAGAATGGGGATGATAAACCAATAGTGCAGCCTCATCTAGGATTCTCTATGAGCATGTAAAAATTGTGACCAGAGATTGAAAAAATGGATTTTTAAAAAGATGTTTAAGAGGAGCTCTGAAAATGCATGAAGTTACAAATGGTATTGAAAAGGGGCCAGATTTCAAATGTATTTAAACCTCTGAAGATGAAGGTAAGCTCCCTGGCCCTAGTTACAGTACATATTTGTATTACTGCAACTACTCTCATAGTTGGCCTCTCACAAGAAGCTGACACACCTACTTGCATCATCAAGGGTCTAAATACCTTTGAAAAACTGAGCCAAGGTAGCTCAGAAGTTTTGTTCTCCCTGCATCATAACACATGAACAAAGGGACATTCAACAAAAATGAAAAGGTACACTTTCCAAACTGATAAAAGGAAAATACTTTTTTTCTGCACAATACATGATTAGAACATGGAATTGCCTCAGCATATTATTCAGACCTAGAACTTAGCAAGACTCAAAAAGGGACTGGATGATTGATATTATTTTCTTAAAACAACGATATGCCAGAATTGCAATAGATAATAACAAAAAAACTATTAAAAGGCATATAAAAAATGCTGCTGCAGGACTTAAAACAATGTCTATTAGAAATTAGGCTTATTTCTCATACGCCTGTAGTATGTGGTACCCTTCATTTGCCTAAAAATACAAGTAGGAATAATACACGTTCTTGTGAAAAATCTGATACAGCACCCACCTCCCTCCTGCTTTCTCACCTATTGTATTCTAATTGCATACTCCACTTTATACTCTGCTCTATACTGTCTTTTCACACAGTCGGATGAAGTGAACTTGGGTTCACAAAAGTTTATGCTTTATATATCTTAATTAGTTAGTCTATAAAGGAACTAGGCTTATTTCTCATATGCCTGTAGTATGTGGCTGCCTGCTCTCTCATACTAGCCACTGTCAAGGTCAGAGTATTGGACTTGATAGGCCGCAGTTCAGATCCATCACACCAGGTTCTATATTCTTAAAATGTATGTAGAAGAGATATTTTAATGAATAAAAGAGGACATCAAAACTGAGAGCACCAAAAATGACTCAAGTTCTGTTGCTAGGGAAACCTACTTGCTAGGCAAAGGCAAAAATAAGCTTATCCTTAAAAAACAAAGCCACTCTACTGTACATTGATAATCTATACATTAACAACGTATTTTTAAACCAAGTGTGACAGCATTTTGGATTATGCTACACACATTTCTGCAGTTCAGTGCTGCTATAACATATACTACCTCCTTCAAAAATGAAAAAAAAAAATCAAGTACTACTTTCTCCTGTTTAGTTATTAATCACTGCAGAAAACATGGAGTGTTTAGATCAGACCACGGGTCACTGGTTGCCTGGAGCACACGCTGCATTCTTGCAACTGCAGAAAAGGTATATTTTAAAAGCGCTCTCTCCTGACCCGACTGTTAACAGAATGAGATTATGTACATTGTGATTATGCCCACTACAGTACAGATTTCAGACACTCATTTTCTTAAGGAAAGCTTTACAGCTGTATCATGAAAGCAAAAGGCAAGGAAATAATGTCACAACATGAATCAATTAGGACTAGAAGCCCCATCACATAGAAAACTGCCAATCAGCAGATAAGGCTTGTTCCCCTATTCCCCAGAACTCAAAACAATGAGACAACCTGGCAAGTATTTGTATAGCAAAACAGTACATCTAAAATATAAAAGGTCAGGCTCGTGAGATATTAAATTTATTAATTCAAATGCTTAGTCAGGAATGTAAGTAGGGCAGGGCAGCCAGAGCAGCTGCCCCAGGTCCTGACCTGGCAGAGGAAGAACTAAAGGGCACAGAAAAAAGCTGCTCCTGCTGCAGCCACACACACAGCTGGAGGTCACCACTGGCTCCATAGCTAGGGACAGACCTTGCACATAAACTGGTTTAAGTGATCAGAAACTGGTTTCCACCTGTACCTGAACAGATGTTCAGTACACATAAACAAGTTTTAAAATGGCTGAAACCAGTTTGAGATAAACCTGGTTGAATGTAGTATCAGATTTAACTGATTTGAGTCAAACCAATTTATGCAATGTCTGCCCCAGACCCCTTGCTGGTTTAAGTTAAATCAGAGTCCCCCAGCATCCCGGCATGCTCTCTGGGCTGGGTGGGGCTCTCTGCTCCACAGCACAGTTTGGCCCCTCCCCTCTGCTCGCTGGCTGAGATTTGCAGTTCCAAAACAGATTTCCAGGCACCGCAGGGTCTGCAGTGTGTTGCAGCTGCCCCATTACTATGCATCTTTGCTTCACATTCAGGAAAGGAAGGTGCCAGATGTTACCTATGTTTTCTGCCATTAGCTCATGTAGAAGAATTCTATATATATATATATAAAGGGCTTAGTCTGTCTGTCTGCCTGTGTGTCTATCTGTCCATAATGCTTTTGGCCAACTGCATATACACTGCTGAGAGGGCAGGCAGCAATTGGCTGCATGGAGCCCCAACTTTGTGCTGCTGCTGGGCAAGTTTGTGGTGGTGGCAAATACATGCTGATTGCCTGAGCAGTGGGGCTTCCCCCCACCACCCTGTCTCCCTGCCTGAGGGCAAAGGGGGGGATCACAGTACCCACCTCGCTGCCCAGCCCCAATGCCCCCCAGAACAGCCAGCAGGGACGGGGAGGTGGTAGGCAGGGAGGGAGGCAGGCAGACATGGGCCAGGTGAATGCAGACTGAGGGAGAGGGGGTGGCATGGGGCCAGATGTGGAGCAGCGGGAGGTGGAACATGGCCTGATGCACAGTGGCAGTGCAGGAACGGGAGTGGGGCATGACATGGAGTGGGGCCTGATGTGGAGTGAAGGGGAAGGGGGGGTTGGGTAGCGTGGGTCTGGATGTGGAGCAGTGGGAGGGGTGGAGTGGGGTGGCAAGGGCTGATGCAGAGTGGGGGGGGCAAGGGAGGGAGGGTTGGCACAGAACCAAACACAAAGTGATGCAGGGGGCAGGGTCTGATGTGGAGTGGTGATGGAGGGGAGTGTGGCCAGACAAGAAGCAGCAGGGGGGTGGGGGGGTGAGGCCATGGGGCCGGATGCAGGGCTCAGTTTTCGCCCACCCCTACCCTCCACCATTCTTGATGGGCAATTTGCTAATGACAAAAATAAATGTAAAGGAAATTTCTGTTTTTATTTACCATTACAAAATGGTTGCAAGTAGGGGAGGATCTAAGCGGAGCACCCCCGTTTGATACCTGCTCTACCTACATTTTTAAACCAAACATTTTAAATGGGCAGTAGCAGTTCTTTTCAAACTGCACTGAGGCTATCAATTGACTTCATGGTTTATAATAATCTAGCTGGTTCCTGTTAGTCTTTATTCAGTCTATAGGTATTAATGACCCTCTCTGCTTGTTAATGATCTTAATATTCCACTCTTCAAACTAGGCAGACAAGGTTCTTTGGGTAGATGTGATCTCTTTTATTAGACCAACTAAATACTTGGAAAAATTGTTCTTTGCAAGTTTTCAGACACAAACACCCACCTTGTAAGGGTGGGTTTTTTTGTAAGAGGGTGTTTGTGCCTGAAAGCTTGCAAAGAACAATTTTTCCAACTATTTAGTTGCTCCAATAAAAGATATCACATCTACCCAAAAAAACCTTGTCTGCCTATGTCCTCAAACCAACATGGCTACAACCAACAACTCTTCAAACTATCCTTTCTTCTGCAATTTTTCTGTCTGTTAGCCATTCCTGGTAATGTCTTTCTTCTCTTTCACAGCCCTGAAGACTATTTGTACTTCACAATAAAAATCTTAACTCAGGGGTGGTAATATTAACTTAGGTGTAGAAATGAATGGGTGAAGAACTGGTGGCACTGTCAAGATGCTTGAAGACTAGATTTTGTTTTACAAATTTGAATAAGAGATATACATTTAAAAGAGATGTACATTTAACTATAATGACTACAGGACTAATGCAACAATACTTTTTGATTATTCTGATAACTTTCTGCCTCATTTGTTGTGCTTTTTAAACTTAATATATAATTTAGCAAATTAGTCAACATTCTAATAAAGTTATATTTGTTTTTTCTTT